ACTAAACACACACACAAACAGGGAGCATTTGCGTTCAGTATCTTGCTCAACGACACTTTGACATGCAGCGAGAGGATCTAACGCCTGTACCTCTGAGCGACAGCCTATATACCATTATTATTATTTTGTAAAATAATAACTGCTGTAATATGATTGACATTGAAAAGTGAAGTGTAAGAAATGGTTGACTTACTTTTTATTTATTTACACACACACACACACACACACACACACACAGCACACACACACACACACACACACACACACACACACTCAGACAGCATTGGGGTCTCCAACTAAACACAAGGGTTAAGTGTTGGTTCCTTTTTCACTTCACTTTGTCATTGCTCTTGCTCTGCCATGGCTGAGAAGTTGCACAGGACTGTAGTGATAAGGACGTCCTTGGGTTTAGTTTGGTATCTGCCGATGTGGACTCCAGGGGACGAGATTACTTCAATAATGTCCAGCCTCAACTCTGGTGATCCTGGCGAGCTCCACAGTGACACAGCTGAACTAAATTCATTGTTCCTACAGCTTTCACTTGGTGAACAAGGGTGTCCACTGATGGACTAGTGCTCCCTCTGGTGTAAAGTATGAAAATGGATCTAAGAAATTGTCCTGTGGCTGAAAGGTTACCTGTGGAGTTGTCTTGTAAATAAGTTCTGGTACATTCAGTCTTACTCACCAAAATGCATTGTGTCAATCCTTGTGGCCTAGAAAAGGTGTTCAGTTCATTTGTACATACATACAATTCTCATTCTATTTTTTATATCTGGAGCTGTAACAAGTGCATTTCCTGGTGAGGGATCAATAAAATCTATCTTATCTTATTTGTGTCCTCATAAAATGTGCAACTCCCACACTGTCTTCAACCATGTTTACTACCTTGCAGTCTTCTCTTTCCCGGTCTCTGTTGGCACATTGTAACATGATATCTTTGTGTGTTACCGCCACCTATAAAACAGTGGAATAGTGTCACACCGTCGGTAGGACTGTATTGTGTCACCCTCATGTTCACGAGAGGAACAAAACTCCACTAGGTGCCTTTAACCTTTTTTAAACAGTAGCTCTGGTATGATTTGACCAATGGATGACCCAGAAAGTGTGCAGCTCTTGAATTCCATGATATCTGCAGCACCTTTACTGTATTTCTTTCATTTCATTTCATTCTGTAAATGTTAAAAGGAGTTCGGTCTACCTGCTCTATTTGAAAAGTTGTCCTGAGATACTTCTTTATGAATGGCGCTATACAAATAAAATTGAATTGAATTGTATTTTACACATGCCTTAGAAAAGTCAGTCAGTCAGTTATATCATGTAATATTTATCAGTTGAATTCAGACATTTAGTTCTGAGTTGTAATGTTACCACAGTACTACACATGGAACATGTCATCTATTCCACCAAACCAAG